TCTTTTTTTATTTCCTTGCAATGTGTGAATAGTTTTATTTCAGAGGAAATTAGGGTGATTGAGGGAATTCTTATTAGCAAATTACTTTCATTGTCTTAATTATTGCTCTAATTTTGTCTTTATCATTACTATTATTATAATTATCATTTTCATTATCTTTATCATTATCATTATTACTACTATTATTGTTGCCATTATCATTTTTCATTACTATCATTTTTATCATTACAATTACGATTATTGTTCTCATAACATTATAATTTTCATTGTCATTATTATTAAAATCATTAATAATATTGCTATTACTATTATCATAATGCTTATTGTTATCGTTATTGTCCTACTTTTTCATGTTACTGTTTTCGTTTTTCTTGTCCTTATGATCATAATTATCATTATCATCAATTTTGTCTTCTAGTTATTCATATTACCATTTTTTCCTTTTTCTGTTACTGTTTTCGTTTTTCTTGTCCTTATGATCATAATTATCATTATCATCAATTTTGTCTTCTTCATTATTTTTCGCAACTGTTATCTTATCCAGCTGTATTACTTTTATCACAATTACCATTGTTAATTGTATCATTATTATTATTACTTTTATTATAATTTTCATTGTCATCAGCATTACCCTTATTAGTTTTGTTATTATCAAATCTATAATTATCATCATAATTGTTATAATCATCATTACACTATTTTATTACTATTATCATAATTGTTATAATCATCATTAACACTATTTTATTACTATTATCATAATCATCATTATTATCATCGTTTTCATTATCATTTTAATTATCATCATTACTTGTCTATCATTATAATTATTGCCATAAAGTAATGTCTTTATTTTTTATTTTTTTTTCTATTAGCTGCAAATAAAGCAAACGCTGTGCCCTTTATATGCAGCAAAGGTTAGGTAGGGATTTCTAATGAAAAAAAAAGTTTGGTTCTATAAACTGGATTTATTCGCTTTACATAAAAATGTGCACTACTAACAGTTTGTACATTATTTACAGAGTTTGGCACAATCGTATGTAAAATAAAACATTGGGATCACCATTCTGGTTAATACATTATGTTCGTGTATATATAGCAATGGAAATATTATATCTCCATGGCAGAAGAACGAAATGGAAACCATAAATGGTTTATTTCACTGTTCAATTAAATTTTAAACACATTTCATGCAATAATATTTCCTCTGCTGTTTTTATAACAAATATCAACTATTTCAAATGGGTTTATCTATATTCATATCACACATGCATTATACATGCATACATACATTATATATATATATATATATATATATATATATATATATATATATACATATGTATACATATATATATACATATATATATATATATATATATATATATATAATATATATATATATATATATATACATATATATGTATATATATATATATATACATATACATATATATATATATATACATATATACATATATAATATATATACATATATACATATATATATATATATATATATATATATATATATATATATATATATATATATACATATATATATATACATATATATAATATATATATATATATATATATATATATATATATATATATATATATATATATATATATATATATTATTGTATATAATATATATTATATATATACATACACATTATATATATATATATATTATATATATATATATATATATATATATATATATATAATATATATATATATATATATATATAATGCATATATGAAGAGTACGTTAAGATTCACATTAAATGAATGCCATCAGATAATAAATAACAAACAAATGTGTCTGAATAAAATCAGGCACTTGGAGATTCAGTCATAACAGATGCCTTTCCTTAAGGTCACCAGAAGGTCAGGTCAGCGCTCTCGGATTCTCATGCGTGGTCAGGTCATTCATGCACCTGGTGCGGTGTGATCCTCCAGGCTGGGATACTACCGAGGACGGGGGGGGGGGGGGGGGGGGGGGACCTCATGTTGTTATTATAATATATATATATATATATATATATATATATATATATATATATATAATATATATATATATACACATATATATATATACATACATGCATACACATATGTATATACGCATATATGCATATATATTTATACATAATTGTATATATAAGTATAAATGTATATATAACACATATACTTATATATATGTGTTATATATATATATATATATATATATATATATATATATATATATATATATATATATATATACCGTTGGAAGATATATTTAAAATACGAGTTAAAGAAGCATGATTTTCTCAACAAGTATTTACGATATGTATCATGGGTCTATTACACTTCACTGACATCCTCGTTAGTGATTCTATGCATAAAGAGTCCACTGCTTCAGTTCAAGAAAGAAAAAAAAAAAAACAATTGGGCATTTTGAAGGCACTTGAATTATCATTTGTTATGACGACTTAAAAAAGTGAATAACACTGAATTATACATCTATACAAAAAGTCGCAGAGGACGGAGTTATAAAATTAGTTATATAATAAAGCACTTATATTTCAGCTGAAGCGATCCTATGTCGAGGGGCTTCCCTTGTCATCGCTCCGAACACGCGAACAGCCACGCACACAAGCAACGACACACGCACACAAGCAACGACACACGCACACAAGCACACGGCAATACAGAAGATACAGAGCGACTTCCACGCTGAAAAAAACCAGACTGGTCCAAGATCTGACTAAAATCTTACATTTCAAGGGAGAGTTACAGTTTTCTTCTCTCTTTACTTGAGGCAGATTCAGACACGCGGGGGGATTTCACACCCCAGTGGGACAGGTTTCAGATTCAACCAGATATACACACGCGAAGGGAAATTAGAGAAAAGAAAGAAAATATACCAAAAGACAGAGGCCTGAGGCGCGACTATCACAGGGTTGGGTAACTTGTATTTCAGGGTTGCGTCGTGGTGAACTGTTACCCGTTCAGCTGCCACAACTGTGACATCTTCATTGTGTCGCTAACATACTGTTGCATCATTTTATTTTACATCAATATTGCAATACCTTTCTACCTTATTATGAGAATCTACAGAACAGTAAAGTACGTTTGGAGCTAAACATACAAATGTTACCGTACATTCTTCAAGTTTTTTCACCTTCTCTAACACCGCTCTCTCTACTCGAGTATCTTCAGCATTGTAAGAAAACGAGACCTACACTAAGGACGAAATTCCCTTGATTAATGGCCCATACTCGGTCACAGCGAAGGAGATCGAGTCCAAATATCAGACACACTGTCGATCTGTCGCTGCCATTTCTGACGTGGACGCAGGGCAGGGTGTCGCGTCGCGTCGTCAGGATAAAGAACACCGTCGCCGCACTTCTGCTTCATAACTGGAATTAGGTTTGATAACTACACCACGTGAACACATCTGGCGCCGTGCGTGAGAACACATGACGTGGTAAGAACAGTGGTCATATATTTGAAAAAAACAGTTTCTGCATATTTCAGTAGCGGTCTGTGTCTTCACTGTCTTAATACACTAGACGTTTTATAATTGTTTTAATAATTCCCTTGCAGGTTCTCGGGGTTAATACAGTAGATCCTTGCCAGAGAGGACAACAGGATTCTTAACATGCAACATATTTTCTATGAACCTTCAAGGAATATTCAACTAAAGTTCCTAACAATAATACGTATTTACCAAGTGGTACAATACAATCCTGTTCCACTTACAATTAAAAAGTTATCCATCACACTACCACACACTGATCTCTGGCGAACCAAACGTGTATCTTATGAGACAAAACGTTTACAAACGTTTCACTGTACCATCACAACATATTAACTTCACGGGTTTTTTGTTCAACTCTGCTTCTTCGCTTTTCAATTGCTTTCTGCTTTTCTTCTCACATGGGATCGCGTTGGTTCACTGGAGACCAAGGCGAAGGAGAGGAAGAAGGGAGACGCGGCGATGTCTTCACCGCAAAATAACATTTACTAGTAGTTCTCGAAGGGCTTTTGTGTTGAGATATGGAGTCGTATACTTCTCACTCACTCTGTGCCGCCCGCGTTCCCTGGGTTCGAATCCGTGTCGGGAGGGGAAAAAATACTTCGGTTTCAATATTTAAAAAAACACGCTAATACCTTCTACCATTTTCCTTTTCTCTCTACACATCGCCTCCTCCTTCGACGTGGTATAGCTGGCACTCCTGCAGCCCTACGTGAGGCACCCCTGCAGTGTCACACCGTGTCGTAGAGTCAGCTGGTGTTCGGGGTGTCACTCGCCTCCTCGCCGCCCGCCGCTCCTGCCATTGTCTGCCACTCAAGCCCTAAGCCTCTCTCTTCACGCTCCCGAAGGCGCCGGTGGTTCACGCTCCTCGTATCGGCTGTCGTGATCTCCGGCTGTCTCTCTCTCTTTCTTCTCTTTTATCCTGCGAGCGCTCATTCCGTCCTGAGGGACCGCTTGTCGAGATAGGGGCTCCTCTCTCTCTATTTTTGTTTCCTTTCTTTCTTTTCTCTCACTATCTCGTTATCTCTTTTTGCTTTCTTTCTTTCTTTCTCTCTCATACACACACAGTCACTCACGTACATACATAGTCACTTACTCTCACTCACTCACGCACACACACAGTCACTCATTCTTTTTCTCTCTCTGTTTGTTTGTGTGTTTGTATATGCGTGCGTGTCCTTGTCAGGAATGAGAATGAGACTTATGCTTGCATTTCCTTCGCTGTATTTGAAATTTTCTTTCTTCTTTCTTCCGCTTTCATCTTCTCTCTTTCATTTCTTCTTCCTCTTCCTGTCCCGCTTCCTCTTCTTCGTCTCCTTCTTCATCTTCCTCCTTCACCATTTCCCTCGTTCCTGTTCTTCTCTCCATCTCTCTTCTCCCTCGCTTCTTCCTCCTCCCAACCCTCTCTTCGCATCCCCTTATATCTCCCCCATCCTCCTCCCTCCCCCTCCTTCCTCCCCCACCTTCT